AAATTAAGCCACAGGTTAGGTTTTCCCTTATTTGTGTCAAATAAAACACACCAGGTTCCTTTTCCTCCTTTGTCTTGAGGCTGTAACACCTCATCCCCTTTCACTGAAAGCCCTGGGTATCCATTAATTGTTCCTCATTTAGCTGCTACTTCAGTCATGCTCCATACTTCCAGCCAAGCCACAGGTAGAGCCGTCCTCTCTGCAGGCGTCCATACCACCACGGCGCAGCCTTCCTCTCCTCATACCCCAAAAAAGGCAGCGAGCGATGGGAATGCAAAGGCAGGTCTCCTTACGGCAACGCAAAGCCCTGGCTGGTTTATTTTCTATATGCTCCCCATGTATTTTACAGGAGACGATTCGATACATTAAAATGCTTAGAGGGCCTATAAAATAAGGCAGTTATTGTAGCGAGTTGTGTTCTTTACCTTTCAGCATGCCAAGATGAGGAAAGCAATCCGAGTGCCAAAACACTGAAAATTTTGCTGCATGTTGCTGAATACCATACTTAAAAGATTTTGTCTGGTATGAAATAACATAAAATTTGGCAGTCTTTTACCAGGCACCCTGGAACACAGTAGAACGGACATAGCAGAGTATATATACGCAGATTTTCCTTACAATGGCTACAGTGCTGCCAGTGCATTCCTGGAACATGGAAATAGATGGAAGCCAGTGTCAGCAGTGAAGAAAAAGCTTGCTGTGCCTAATGTACCAGAAAAGCTATTCAAGAACTCATCCTTACATAAAAATGACTCCAAAGAAGCTGCCAAGTGTCAGCCCAGCTTCGCAGCTTCACTGTTACTTGTCTAGCTTGCACACGTGGCTTCACCTCGTACGCCTGGACACAAAGCCCAGTTGTTCAAAGTGAGCAGTTTCAGTTCATCACCTCATTTGTCCATTCAGTCTTTGACCCTTCGGCCCCACAGACACCACGGCCTTCACCAGAAACCTCTGCAGAACTGAAATAACTGGGATGCAAATTATACAAGAGAACATCTCCATTTCTAGCCATGGACAAGTTCCCTCAGACAAGAATCTTTTTCATGGCTGTGTGGTAGGACATGTACTTCTTAACTCCGGTGTAACCAGCTGTTCCATAGATAGCAATGGCAAGATTAAAAACCCAAACATCTGAAAGCTCCTTTTTAAAATTGTTTTGAAAAATAAAAAGTAAAGAAATCTGAGTCTCCTTTTGGTATAGGCATCAAATACCCCAAATCCTACGATACAATCAAGGCAGCTGGCTGTTCCTGGTTTTCAGAAGTGGGGCTGCAACATTGGTTTTGAAATCGACAGGGTGAGCCCATAATACAAACAATTATTTCAACCTGATGCTCTCGATAATGCTTTGAAGACATATTCTCCTGATGGGACAGAAAGCCTGTAATTAGACACGTCACCATTGCTGGCCCTGTCTAGAAGAGCAGCTGTCATAATTCTGTTAGTGTTTCTGCTGTAACCCAACAGCTCTTCAAAAAAAAAATTGTAGCTCCCAGAAATTCTTCATTTTAGACCACAGAATTATACTGAAGTGCAACAACAGAATATTCATTCCATATCTTCTAAGCCTTCCAAAAAAAATTAACATTTAAAAGGCAGCCTACAGACAGCACTGCAGTTGACTATTCCTGCTCCTTAAGGACCATTAAATGCACAGAGTTTCTTATAAATAACAAGATGGTCACCAAAAGGGAAGTCAAAGAGTAAGGGAACATTATCCTTCCCTCTGAATTTTCTGTGTTCATGATTTTCATGTCTGGTATTTGTCACTTTTTAATTTATATAAACATGATTATAGAAGTATTTACTTCAAGAAAGTACTGTGATGCTGAAAGGGCAAAGGCTTTTTTGTCTTGAGAACGTATTTACCCTACACTCTAGCAGAGTCCCATGTGCAGAAACTCCCCTGGATCTGGCATCTCAAATCAATCCTTATTTCATTAATTTTACTTGGTCTCCTCTTTCAGATATTTCATCCTGACAGCTCACTTCCTTGATGCACCCCAGGGTAAAATGCTCCAAGCTCTTTCAGTAGTACAAGCCCCACACCAAATAAAATGGCTTCTCCCAGTAAATACCCCAAAAGAGAATGCCAAAATGCGGTTTCCTTGGCAACAGCAGGTACCAGAAGCCAGGTATTGGTTGTCTGAGCTGCACTAAACAGATGCTGGTGAAGGTGCTGCTTGTTGGGGTTTATGTCCTAAAAGCCACCATCCATCTTCCTGGAAGAAAAACTCAGTACGGAGAGAGGCTACCACAATCTGCACAGCCCAGCTCGCAGCTACCAGTTCCAAGCAGGTTCGTGTATCGCTGGAGTTGCACATACTATCACTAAAAAACACCTGGCTTAGAAGATGAGATCTAGCTTGCATCCTAGTCTTGAGGTGTAATTGCTTAGGGAGAAACTTCATGGCTCTGGATCCCTCTGGAACACACTAGCTAACACCTCCCTTCCCTTTCCAGTCTTTCCAGGCATCTCATTGAGTTTGGCATCCAGCCAGATGCAAAGCTCACTGGCACGGAGAGAAATTCATCCTTTGGCATGTTATTGATCAACAAGCGAACATAAACTCTTTCTGTTCCGCCTACGTTTTATGCAAAACTCTACCCAGATCCAGAAAAGTACGCCAGCTCTGCAGAGTCTTCCAACCTAAACTCGGTACTGCAGGAAAAGCCTGTGGGTTCAACCACTGAGATGCATGGAAGATGTTAGTTTTACTACCCACAAACCTCATATTTGACAGTGAAATCTCATCCACGGTCTTTGGAGAGCAAAACAATAGGAGTAGAGCGTATTTCAAACGCTGCATTTATTCTCCTGCAGTCTGGTGTTGCAGCTGAAACCAAGAGTCACACAACTGTGTAGTCATGAAGATACCAGCCTTCATGAGCTACCATGAAGCACTCCACAAACTACAAAAAAAGACTCGCTCCTCCTAACTCGCTGCTTATTCCTCTGCATCTTTTTTTTTTTTTTAAGAGATTTTTCACTGAAAAGCAACAACATTTAGACATCATACCTTCACGAAGAACCATCTAGCAAGATGAAGTGCCCCAAATCAAGAACATTCTTTGGCACGTCATTTCCAAGCACTACTAGTCAGAAAAAAAAAAAAGCCATTGCTTAAGTATTACAGCTGCTACCTAGACTCCATCATTCATAAAACACCAGGTTTCCAACAGAGCAGATTTTACATAGTAAGCCTTTGGTTGTTATTGCCTTAAAATAAATCTCCTGAAACATCTTTTACAAGCATTTTTCTACTCTCTGGTGACACTTGAAAGTGCTTGGGCCTGTGAAAGAATATGCAAACTACAACTCGGATGCAAAAATCCTTAGTTTCAAGCAATAGCTTGTGTGGTCATTTGAGACTAAAGAGGAAAAACTTGCTTGCAAGAGAAAATAGTGAATTACTATAATTGTTTCCCAATGCCTTGCTAAAAATACTAATTGAAAGTGGTTGATCGTACAACTCACATGGCACACTTACACGGTTTCTGATGCTAAAATCTCTCTGTAACCATCTTAGGAAGCTTATTTTTGGCTTTACAAATGATATAAAAATATTGCCTAGAGAACAAAATCTAATAATAATCTATCCGATGAAGAAGAGAAAACAATACTTGCCCTGAACCATACGTATCTCATGGAGTGTGAATCTACAGTTAAATTCCTCCTAATTGATTAAAAACAAATCCATGACAGCCATGACTTTATTTTCATTCCATGATTAAATACATATCATGCCTTCATTAGCAAAAACTACAGATGGGAATAAAACAGATGCTGTAAACACATCCTGCCAAGTAAAATTTGCTTGCATTAACTCTACCTGATGCCAAATTGGCTACAAAAATGTCAGTGTCTTTTTATTGAGGTTGTTATCAGTGGTGTACTTTGAATCCATTGTACTACTCCATTAGAAAAAAAAAAAAATCCTCTGTCTGAATTGCCGCTCCCATTTCACAGCACCCTGTTGGCTGCTGGGCAGGTACCACAAGTTACCCAAATGATAACAAGACCTTGGTTTTGGCACTCCAGTTACGAAGCCAAGCCTGACCAAATATGCAAATCTTTCTCTAAACTTTCTCACCACTGCTGATAGACCATTCTTCCAATGGAACCAGTATATCCCATTTTGCAAAAAAAGATGTAAAATTTTGGAATCCTACCTTGAAGCCATGACCAGATGGATCATGAGGGAGGACTCACCATTGTGCCTTATTTCCTATCCTGGGAAAGGACTAGAAGTCTTTCTTGACCCTTAAAGATCTCTGAATCCTGGGAACTAGGAGTCTGGGAAATCAGGAGAAACAATTCTCTGATAAGCAAACATGACCTTGCCTGTGAAACAAAACCTGATTGCCTAATAGGGCCTCCTTGACGTTTGAGAGAACAAGTTTATTGTCACCTGCAAATGTGTTTGTCAAGGCATAAAACAATCTCATTTTCCTATCTTTTGAGCAATAGTAGTATAATCTGAAAATATAAAAGCCAGAAGAAATAAAGGCAAAGAAATTAAGAAAAAGGATCACACAGAAGTTTTAAAAAAAAAAAAAAAAACAACTGATAGTTATGCTTCAAATTCTTTTGGATTTATGCAGCTAAAATCTGTCCCGAGAAATTCACTGGAAAACACATGGTCTTTGTCAGCTCTTGAGACATCATTACATCATTTACATCATTAGGGAACGATGGAAATAACTGACGAAACTTGCGCACCTTCAGGCAAGTGAGATTTTCAAAAACTCTCAGTAGCCTCCCTCTGCGGGAAAAGAGTTGAGCTGTTGCAGTGGAGACAGAACTACACTGAGTCAGAGAACCCCCGAAAGCCTGAATTTAAAGCGCTAACTGGTCCTTTTTTGCAACTGCTGTGGCTTTTATATTCCTCTCCCTCCTTAACAGCTACATTCATGTTCACCTAAGAAAAAAATAAAAGATCCAGTGCCTACATTGCAAAAACTTGTTCTCTATTACACCGCACAACAGAGAAATGAGATTTTTGCTTTGTAGAATACCTTTACCTCTATCGGTCACCAATTACCAACACAGAAATTAAATACCAGATAATCTTTATGTTCCAAACACAAATATCATACAGTTATACTAGTCTGCATATCTAGAATGCCTTATTCCTCTCTCACTTAGAAACTTGCAGCTTCCCTAAAACAAGGGAGGTTGTAGCAAGGACAAAATTTAGAGGCAAGTTATGCAAAGCTGAAATGCTTCTAGGGCAATGTTTTATAGTTCCTTAGAGTTCCATACACAGTATTTTACTGTGTACTCCAAGGGCATTTATTTACACACATGTCTGAGGTTTTCTGGCAGGTTTAAAGTTCAGACTTTTCTCAACTAATCTAATTTGTCCAAGATGGATGGCATCACTTTCTTCCTTTGGAAAACCAATGCTGTTACACTGTTTCCAATTCTTCCTCCAAAGCAAAACTTGGGTGTTGGCAGCTCCTCCAGAATTTCAAATCCTGCCAGACAGAAATTAAAATGCTTTTATTAGAAGGAAGTCACTTTATTCTCCTCTTGGATAACCCTTTGCAAATCATTCTTTGTCTGGAAAACTTGCAAGTCAGTTATTTTGTAAGTTTATAGAACTCTATTGTTACACTGCACTGATGCTTTATACAGCTGAAACCCTTCCACGGATAATAAAAATCTTAGCTGGCTGACTCAAATTAATGCCAGAAAAGATGAGAACTTGCCAGTAATTTTAGTTCCCCAAAAGGGACGATTGGTTTAGATCCACACTGAGTTTCAGCCCTGAGTCATGAGATTCAAGAGCTAACCAGCACGTAAAAAACACGCACATCTGCGCATCAGGAAGGTCGCTGAGGGGGTAACATAGAAGGTCACCGTCACAGACTTGCCGGTTCCCCTAAATATGGGTAACAATGCTACCCCAACTGCAAAGCAATCAGATGGGTGAACTGGATCTGGCAATAAAAGACCAAAAGAGAAAAAGTCCCCTCCTTTCCCCCTGTAACTAGACTGAAATCTAGTCCTCCAAAACCTGTCCTCCCTTGGCACGTTGGCACCGGCAAACACAGAAGCTGTAATTCCCGAGGAAAACAGAGGGAGGATAGACTGAAGCACTTACTAGTTGCTTTACCTTGTCTGAGAAAGTCAATATGCTAACACAGACATTCAAATTTACTCATCGCATCCTTGAACAACCGTAAATTGGCAGATGGTTCTGTTCAACTGCTTACCTTCTCTGAACTCGTTCAACAGCTCCTCCTTGGTCCAGTTGCAAGATGTAATGAGGAAAAAGCCCTGTGGTTTCAATACACTGCAGAGAGATCTCACGTACTGCTTCCTCTTTCCCACTGCATTCTCAGGATTAAGGCTTATGGCATCGAAAGTCCCCTTGTCAATACAAATCTCAAATCCTGACAGCTCAGCTGATGGATCCAGGAAGTCTTCTACCTAAACCAGAAGTCTACAACTGTGAAAAGAATCTTCTGCTCAGGAGCTCCTGAATCATTTAATGCAAACCAATACTTTAAAATAAAAAGCATCAAACCTGACAATAGGTGTGCTTAGGAAAGGGTAACTCACATTTACAATGCCATGTCAGCTTCTTTCTTCTCGAAGTATTACGTGATGATCTATTTGCCCGTGCATACACCTATCCATCTAAAGCTCAAACCGACATTCTGGAAGTTCATTCTTTAAATCATTATTTGTACTTTGATCCCTGGTTTCCTAGGTGCTGTGTGCTAGGCACTGTACAAATACAGAAGAATAGACAGTGCCTGCCACAAAGAGATTCCAGTTGACATATAAGAACAGAGACATCATACAGGTACAGAGCTGGAGGATAAAATGGCACAGCAGAGAGCGAGCTCAGAATGAAAGGCAGTCACAGAATCACAGGATGGCTGAAGGTTGGAAGGGACCTCTGGAGGTCATCTGGTCCAACCCCCTGCTCAAGCAGGGCCTCTCAGAATTTCTGCTGCACAGCTACTGGTAGCAATTCTATCACTTAAGGATTTCATCCTCTATCTCAAATCTGAAATTCAGAACGTAGCGGCTAAAATACAAAACCTGCCAAATGGCGAACCACTGTTCTGCTCCATGCTAGAAGCAAGGAAATGTTTTTAGCCCTAATGACTGTTACAAACAGAAAAAAATAGACCAAAAATCTTCTTGTAAATACAGATTTATTTGGTTAGAGTTCTCTCACAAATGGATGTCAAAAGACATCATTAATATACTACACTGAGTACATCAGAAAATCAATTTGGTCATTTAATCTTGGCTTCAATTGCTTTCTATTCCCTCAATAAACTTTCTCTCAAAACTTACCTTTAATTTAATATTAGACATCCCTTCTTTCTCTCTTATTTTTTCTGAAAGTTGTATTGCAGAAGGAGAATAATCAATCCCAGTGAGATTAGTGTAGCCAGACTTTGCCTAGACAGAAGCAGAGAATCTCAATCAGTGTGCTAGCAATTTTTTTATCCAGCAAGCATATTCCCTATCTACAATCCATCTTAATGACAGATAAAAAACAACCTTTTTACTCATTTTTATTCCTGTTACAAGAGCTAAATAGCTGGAGGAATGAGCTTAAACAACTCCATTCTGCCTAGTACCTCATGAAAAGACCTGCTGACTGAAAGCTGGTTTCTCTCAACAAGTGGAAAACTGAGCAGAACTGTGAAAAGTAATACCCTGGAAGGGAATAGGCTCTCTTATCTGCACCAGAAGTAACCTAGAAACCAGGAATTTTCAGTGATGAGAACATGTGCCAATGCCAGATGCTTCAAAATAAAAAAAAAAAACACACTGACACTTACATGAGATTGAGCCATTATTTGGTTTATAACCCAAATTCTAAGAGCCAAAATAAGTAATCCATTTTATTAATACATAAGTCCACTGCAAAACCTTACATTTTCCTAATTATTCATGCTAATGTCTGATTTGAATGCAATTATTTGCATGCTCCAAGGTCTTTGTATCAGCAATTTTCAGGCAGGTTTTGCACCACATAAAAGAGCATCCAGAGCCTTTCTGTTAATTTAACTTTGGAGTAGATAACGCTAACGCAGATCAGCAAACTCGGGCAGCAGGATCCTCACAACCCTTTTGCAAAGCAGGCGGGCACCTTGCATCAGCTGGACTTGGGCACGTTGGAGGGGAACAGGGACACATTTTCCCTCTGAGGTAGAGGCTGAAGCGACCCGATCTGGGTCTCACATGTGTCCGTTGGTCTGGCTAGATCCAAGCCTAACAAGAAGACCTGTGGTCTGACGGGCAGCTGCAGGCAGAGAGAGGCAGGAGTTTGGGTTTGTTTTGGTTTTGAACACCACATGGACTTTAGCATTAAGCAGTCGGCTGCATATCTACTTGTTCCAAAGGCTGATACCTCAACAGCAAGGAAAATTATAAGAATTTTTTAAAACAGACCTTCCTCCTTCCAGCAGCCCTTCAAGCCCATGTAAGCTCCATGCTAGCCAGCTGTTGTTAATTGAGGACTAATTTCAGCCAAACACAAAGGAGGCTGTGTTGTTTGCACTCGATGAAGAACAGCGGACTGCTCAGGCTTCTGCCCACGTTCCTCCCCAGAAGAACAGCGGATTGCTCAGGCTTCTGCCCACGTTCCTCCCCAGGCTTGGTGCAGAGGAGGAAAGTTAAAGGATAAACAACATTAAATGCTGCTAAAACTGTCCAGCCTGACTACGTACGGCCAGGAAGGCATCACTCACTCAAGTGCCAAACATGACTCCTGTCCTGAAGGTGGTATGGACAAGCACTCGCTGCTGCTGCCATTTGAAAAAGCAGATTAAACAGCAGAAGGTAGTTGGCAGTGTTAGCAGCACTGCACCACGTTTGGGTTTCTGGTGCTGCCAGGCAGAGTGGTGGTTAATACCCTTCACTTCAGCCCCATTTTTCAATTCTGTTGGCTCCCACAATGCTCAGGGAAAAAAAAAAAAAAGAAAAGGTCAGAGCTTCATGCAGCAGCAACATTTCCTTAGAAGAGCTGGAATTTTTGGAGGGCAAAAGAATTAGGTCATCAATGCAGCCCACCAGATTCCTGGTTAGCAGGGGTAGGACCATGGTCTACTGCACATACAAAACCAGCAAGAGGTCCTGCTTACGGATCCAAGATCCTCAAAGCAAGCAGAAAGAAAAGAGGGAGCCTCCAGCAGCATTTCTCTTGGAGCTCAGAGATCCCTGCAGCGTGCATGCAGAAGACACTCAGCAGCATGCTGGATGTTTTCCCTTCTACCTGGCGCCAGTTTACGCAGGATACAGCAGCCTTTCTTGTTTTCACTTTATTTATTACCTGCTTTTCAGGTGGCTATTCTGCTTGTGTTTGTGCAATATTCCCTGCTGGAACTGACAATGTCCCACACAGACCTAGCTGCATTTGAGAGTCATTTTCTTACTAAACTCCATTTACTATTCCTCATTAGTGGCACGCGAGGGTCCTGTATTTCCCCATGAACTGCACTCTGCAGCAGCTCTTCGTGTTCCGATGAGGGTCCGTTACATACCCTCAGCAGTGCTACTGATGTCCTGAAGTCTGACTGCCTTTTTCAGTATTGCACATGAGAGTACTCGGTGTATTAGTCAACTTAATTTCCTTATCTGGGGGTGTTTTACGCAACAATGGGAAGAAATACATTTTTAAACGTAGGAAACCAGAAACGTAGAATTAAAATAAGAGATACTGAGGCTGACTGATTTAAAGAAATACCGTAAATTTTGAAATCTGAAGTATTGACCCCCTGGGCAGCACCAAGAAATTCTAAGTTTAAGCATGTCTAGCAAAAAAGAAAGCAGGTATTTCCATTTGGTAGAACAATGTACATGTTCTGTTCCTAGGGCTGCAGCCCCTAATGGCACTGCTTGTTCAAGGAGTTACACACCAAAGTCCCCCTTGTCTTTGTTCTTTAAGGTATATCAACAGCACAGCGTTAATTTCGCTTATAATAAATGTCTATTTTGCTCTTCAACCAAATTAAAATATAAAACCTGATGCACAGTAACCAGTGTTCTGTCGATGGGAAAAAGAAAACAACGTCACTTTGCTTTTTGTCTTTCACATAAGTTACAGCTCGTCATCATTACTATTGTCTCATGTCAGAACTGTATTTAAAGTACTCCCTTTGGAGCACCAGTTCTGTATCAAAAGCACAAACTTTGCAATATACCAACCAATTCAATCAGTAAAACACCGTTTCCAGTTCCAATGTCAAGCACAGAGCTGTCAAGGGGGACTTTTTGTTTTTCCAACCATCTGATGATGCGAACCATGCTTTCTTCTCCAAACCTGTGAAAAACAAGGCCTCAGGTAATTAAGACAGCAAAAATGTACAAAAGGTACAGCAAATTTATTTCTTCGCTCCTTCTCTCCAGCTTTTGCAAAGCACCTCTTACTGAAGCACTCAGGCAAAAAGTGCCGTAACTCATATTCCACATTTGCTTTGTCTAAATTAAAATTAATCACACAGCCTTAAAATTCACCAAAACACCCACTCTGGGAGGTGAAGCCTCAGGTTAAACCTGAGCTCAGGGATAAAAAGCACGTTTATTAGTAACGTACACCACTACAAGCTCATTTTCTGTGTGATGACAGTTGTCCCCACGCAGCTCAGCAATCAGCATCGCAAAACCGGGCGAGAGAGGAACTGGTGGCTTCAGGATTCAAATCCCCCATCATTTTGACAACATCTAGAACTATTCGGTAACCCACAGAATTTTCTAGAGAAATACCAGAAACACTTCGATAGAATTATTTTATTTACCAAATTTCCCCAGCATCTCCAATGTCTTGAAAAGTTTCCAGTTCTCTTTCATAGGCAGCATCCCAGCTAGAGTTACAGGAGAGGAGAAAAAAAACAGGATATTGCAGTTAATAGTGGAAAAGGTTGAGATTAAACGTGCTCGGGAACACGTTCTCCGCCAGGCACCGAGCCGGCGATGCCCAGAGAGGGGAGGCTGAGGGTCACCACACGAGAGGACGTGGGGACAGCACAGGCCTCCTGCTCCCCGGG